TTACGCCTCAGCCTTCCAAGTAGCTGGAACTACAGGCATGTGCTACCACGCCCTGCTAATTTTTTATTTATTGTAGAGATGAGGTCTCACCAAGGTGCCCAGGCTGGTCTCGAACCCAAGGGCTCAGGCAATCCACTCGCCTCAGCCTCCCAAAGTGCTGAGCCACTGGCTGAGCCACTGAGCCTGGCCAAATTTGTGCTCTTAATATTTGGAGGTCAGAAATGGGTCTACAACACCACTGTTTCCTCCTTGAATCTCAGGCTTCATGGGAGAATTTCCCTTCTTTACACTTGCTGGGTTGTAAAGGCTACTTACATTGTTTTTCTCATGGTCTTCTTCCACTTTTTTTTTTTTTTTTTTTGAGTTGGAGTCTCAGTCTGTCACCCAGGCTGGAGTGCAGTGGCACACTCATGGCCACCACAGTCTCTACCTGCTGGTCTCAGACAGTCCTCCCACCTCAGCCATCTAAGTAGCTGTAACCACAGACGTGTGCCACCACTCCCAGCCACTTTTTGTAGAGATGTGGTCTCGCCAGGTTGTGCAGGCTGGTGTTGAACCTCTGGGCTCAGACAATCCTCTCACCTCAGCCTCCCAAAGTGCTGGGTTTATAGGCATGAGCCACCACACTCGGCTTATCTTTATAGCAAGATAGTGTCAGAAGATTTATCTGTCTGTTTGCTATGAAAGCAATGTTTCTTTTTTTTTCTCTTTTTTATGTCAGAATCAAACTCTGTTACCCAGGCTGGAGTGCAGTGGCACACTCACGGCCACCACAGCCTCGACCAGCTGCGGTCAGGTGATCTTTCCACCTCAGCCTTTCAAGTAGCTGGAACCACAGGTGTGTGCCACCACACCTGGCTAATTTTTTAATTTATTATACAGACAAGGTCTTGCCAAGTTGCCCAGGCTGATCTCGAACCCCTGGGCTCAGGCAGTCCTCTCACCTCTGCCTCCCAAAGTGTTGGGATGACAGGCATGAGCCACCATGCCTGACTGAATTAACTGTTGTAAAATATAAGGCATGTAGATTCATCTTTGAATCAATATTAATCAAACATAAAATGGGAACCAGAGCCCACATGCTGCAGAATAGCAGCTGGAAAACTGGTAGGAACAAAATCTCTTGTTTCATAGCCCTACGTGCAGTAGACGGGGGCTTATGGCAAAAGGCTGTGAGCATCTTTGAAGGACGACTACTGGGACTTTTTTTTTTTTTGAGTCTGGGTTTCACTCTGTTGCTCAGGCTGGAGTGCAGTAGCACAATTATGGTTCACCACAGCCTTGACCTCCTGGGCTCAGGCGATCCTTCTGTCTCAACCTCCCTAGACACTGGGACCACAGGTGCGAGCCAACACACCCGCCATTTAAAAATTTTTTTTGTAGAGGTCAGGCTTGGTAGCTCAGCCAGTAATTCCAGCATTTTCAGAGGCTGAGACAAGTGGATTACCTGAGCCAGCGGGTTTGAGACCAGTCTCGGCAACTTGGTGAGACCTCGCCTCTACAATAAATCAAAAATTAGCTGGTAGTTCCGGTTACTTGGAAGGCTGAGGCAGAAGGATCACTGGAGCACAGCAGGTCGAGGCTGTAGTGGCCATGAGCGTGCCCCTGCACTCCAGTCTGGGCAATGGAGTGAGACTCCAACTCAAAAAAAAACAAAAAAAAAAAAACAAATATTTGGGGTTTTTTTTGAGTTGGGGTCTTGCTGTGTCACCCAGACTGGAGTGCAGTGGCACAATCACAGCTCACCGCAGCCTCGACCTAGGGTAAGGTGATCCTTCCACTTCAGCCTCCTAAGTAGCTGGGACCACAGGAGCATGCCACCACACACAGCTAATGATTTTTTAAAATAATGTCAAGGTCTTTGCTATGTTGTCCAGATTGGTCTTGAATTCCCGGGCTCAAGCAATCCTCCTGACTCAGCCTCCCAAAATGCTGGGATTACAGGTATGAACCATCACACCCGGCCTAATTTCTGTTGTTTTAAGCCATTCACTTTGTGGCAATTTGTTATAGCAGCAATAGAAAACTAATAAAATGAAGTATGCAGAAATGCCTAAGAAATCTAAAAAGTCTGTAGAATGAGATTCTAAGGCCATAGAATTCAAGATCAATATAAAAAATCTGGCCAGACGTGGTGGCTCATGCCTGTAATCCCAGAATTTTGGGAGGTGGAGGCGAGAGGATTGCCTGAGCCCAGGGGTTCAGGGACAGCCTGGGCAAACTGTCAAGACCTAGACTCTACAATAAATAATTAGCCGGGCATGGTTGGTGCGCACCTGTAGTTTCAGCTACTTGGGAGGCTGAGGCAGAAGGACTGCCTGAGCCCAGGAGATTGAGGCTGTGGTAGCCCAGGATCATGCCACCACTGCACTCCAGCCTCGGTGTCAGAGTGAGACTACAATTAAAAACAACAAAATTTTTATTTCTACATACTACCAACCAACTAATACAGGGAAAGTTGAAATTAAAATACAACACTGACCTGATTTGAATGTCCCCAACTTAACCCCCAATGTGCAGAACTGAGGGAAAGGCCTTTAAGAGGTGATTACATTGAGCTCTGTCCTCAGGAATGGACCGAGCCATTCATGGATCAGTGGACTAAGGAGTTGTCATAAGCATGGAACTGATGGCCTTTTCAGAGGTCGAGATCTGAGCAAGCCCATGAACACACTCAGCCCTGTCGCAATGTGATATGCTGTGCAGCTTCAGGATACTGCACGTGAGTCCAAGAAACTCTCATGATGTTGATCGAAAAGGTCACAAAATTCATCTTCTTAGCAAGGAACGTTTTTGTTTCCTGCCAGGGTCTCATTCTGTCACCCAGCCTCCAACTCCTGGGCTCAAGCAATGCTCCTGCCTCAGCCTCCCCAGTAGCTGGGACTACAGGCATGCACCACCATGCCTAGCTAATATTTTAACTTTTTGTAGAAATGAGATCTGTTTCTCAGCCTAGGCTCCTGGGCTCAAGTGCTGAGATTGCAGGCATGAACCACCGTGCCCAGCCAAGGAGGGTTTTATTTTTTACAAAGGGTTGCAGCCTGCAGGTTAGCTAACTAGCAGGCTGGGAAGCACAGCCTCTGGTAGAAACCCAACACAGGCAGTTCAAACGAGGAAAGGTGAGATAGGAATTTATGCTGAATGTTGAACAGAGATGTTAAATGTGGAGTATACATATTCAACAATTTATAGGATCTGTGAATATTCATGGGGGTGGGTCACACACGTATGATAATCAGACACCCAAGTTTCTAGTTTATCTACCAGAACATAAAATTCCCATTCTGTATATTCATGAAGAGAAAACTCACGAACATTAATCTTTTAAAATTATCATCACTGGACAATATGAAGGTGGTTTTTATTTTCCCCCCACTTCCTTATATTTTTCATATTCTGTTCGTGTTTTTACTTCATGTAAACCAAGACGCACAACATGGTCTTATTTGGCACCCAGAAAGTGGCATGCAGACAATATAACACGGTGCATATTGCATAAGCAGGAATACAGACTATAGGGTATAAGAATGGGAAGCTATGGGATTTTCATTATATCCAAATAAGTATCCAAAGCCACAGTATGGAGAGAATAACTCAAGTGCAAAATATGGTTATAGGGTCCCAAAATAGCACGTGATTTGATTCCACCCTGAAAAAAAAAAAACTTCTTGGTCCTTCACTCTTAGGAACTTAATGATGTGTGATTACTGACAGTTACCAAGTATTTCACTGAGGTAGGGTAAAATGACGTTGGTAGAAAGAATGTGATTCATTCATAGTTAGAAAAACAGCATTCAATTTTATTAAAATATTAACTCTATGATACATTTTTTTTTTTTTTTTGAGTTGGAGTCTCACTCTGTTGCCCAGACTGGAGTGCAGTGGCCGCTCCCGGCTGCCGCAGCCTCGACCTGCTAGGCTCCGGTGATCCTTCCGCCTCAGTCTTTCAAGTAGCTGGAACTACAGGCGCACGCTACCACGCCCGGCTAATTTTTTTGATATACTGTAGAGATGAGGTCTCGCCTGCCCAGGCGGGTCTTGAACCCGCGGGCTCAGGCAATCCACTCACCTCAGCCTCCCAAAGGCGCGGGATTACAGGCTGAGCCACCGAGCCCGGCTTCTATGATACATTTTTAATAAAACAGAAGCAAAATGTGACTCAGCAATTAATGTGAGTCCTGCTAAAGAATGTTACTCTAGTTCTTTCGATTAAACTCTTCTCCCTCACGACTGTCCTCTCTTCAATTTCAAAAACAAGACTAATTTTTCATCAATACTTGCTATACAACTATCGCCATTCGATGGAGAAGGTGGCCATCATTTCCCCTTCAATATTTCCACCGCACAATTAGTCCCCAATTACCTAGTACTGTACTTTCCTTCCATAAGCCCAGGCCCTCAGGCCTTGGCCCACTCTATCTCACAATAAACTGGTAGACCATCCCTTTCCTTTAACTGACAGTACCCTCCTTTCAGGAGAAAGCGCCCTGAGCACGATCAGAATGAGTGACATCAGTTTCACACTGCTCTCTGCTCCTCTCAAATGCTATTCAGGCAATATTTAATTATTTTGTCCGTTTGAGTCAGGGTAGCACGTTGTCACCCAGGCTGGAGGGCAGTGGCACTCCACAGCTCACTGAAGCCTCAACCTCCTGGGCTCAGGCGATCCTTCCAACTCAGCCTCCTAAGTTGCTAGGACTACAGATGTGCACCACTATGCTGGCTTTTTTTTTTTTTTTTTTTTTTGGTATTTTATAGAGACAAGGTCTCACTATGTTGCCTGGGCTGGTGGACACCTAGGCCCAAGCAATTCTCCTGTCTCAGTCTCCCAAAGTACTGGGATTAGAGGCATGAGCCACCACACCTGGTACAATATTTAATTTTAAAGCGCAAAGTCTTCCTTCTTCACAAATTGAACAGAAACAATCCTCACCTAATGAAGTGAGCTCTTCCATTTCAACAATTCTTTCCCAAAAACCACCATTGAAGGTGTGTAAGAATGCATTTCATCAACAGACTTTATTAAAGTATTAAAGTTGTTTTAAAATCTTATCAGTAGGCTTTTCAAGAAACCTTTAACAATTCAATACTATATTTTATATCCTGCTGGTAACTAGCCACTTGCAAATATCCTGCAACCTTTAATATGTGAGTATATCATATACGTTTTAACATATTTGGACTAGCAATTACTCTGCAGTATATAATATCAAAGGTTAATAAGGGAACTAGAGACTGAGATCTTCCCCATACGAATCCCACCTACAGTTACAGTCACTGGGTAATGGCATCAATATACACATTACAGTTGTGTGGTTTCATCAAAGTTGTGAATTTTGATGCCTAGCGCTGTGTGGCCTGGATAAAGCCTCTGCCAATGTATCTATATGATGTCTCTTTATCATAGACTCCGCTATTTACTAATGCTTACGGTCATGAGCAGGTGGCCATGGTCACTGCATGTGTAAGGATTCTCTCAAGAATGCATTTTCTAATGTTGTGAAAGGAGTGAATCGTGACTGAGGAACCTTGCCACACTCATTTGTAAGGTTTCTCTCCGCTATGCATTCTGAGATGGCTGGCAAGGTTTGAACTTTGCCTGAAGACTTTGCCACATTTGTTACATTTGTAAGGTTTATCTCCAGTATGGATTGCCTCGTGGGTAGTTAGGCTTGAGCGCACCCTAAAGGATTTCCCACATACTCCACAACTGTAAGGTTTCTCTCCAGTATGAATTCTTCGGTGATTTGCCAGGTGTGCATTCTGAGTAAAGACTTTGCCACAGTCATTACATTTGTATGGCTTTTTCCCAGTATGAATTGCTTGGTGGGTAGTTAGGGTTGAACGCACACTAAAAGCTTTCCCACACTCATTGCATCTGTAAGGTTTCTCTCCAGTATGAATTCTTCGATGATTTGCAAGGTGTGAATTTTGAGTAAAGACCTTGCCACACTCGTTACATTTGTAAGGTTTTTCTCCAGTGTGGATGACCTTATGGGTTGTTAGGTTTGAATGCATACTGAAGGCTTTGCCACACTCATTACACTTGTAAGGTTTCTCACCAGTATGAATTCTGCGATGAGTTGCAAGGTATGAATTGTGCCTGAAGACCTTGCCACACTCGTGACATTTATAAGGTTTTTCCCCAGTATGGATTGCCTGATGAAGAGTTAGGCTTGAACGATCACTGAAGGCTCTGCCACACTCACTACACTTGTAAGGTTTCTCTCCGGTATGAACTCTCCAATGCCTCGCAAGTTGTGAAGTTTGAGTGAAGACTTTGCCACATTCATTACACTTGTAAGGTTTCTCTCCAGAATGAATTCCCCGATGACTTGTAAGGTGTGATTTCTGAGTGAAGCTCTTGCCACACTCAATACATTTGTAAGGTTTCTCTCCAGTATGGATTGCCTGATGGGTAGTGAGGCTTGATCGCACACTAAAGGCTTTGCCGCACTCATTACACTTATAAGGTTTCTCTCCAGTATGGATTCTTCGATGATTTGCCAGCTGTGAATTCTGAGTAAAAACCTTGCTGCATACATTACATTTGAAAGGTTTTGTTCCAGTATGGATGACCTGATGGGTAGTCAGGTTTGAATGCATACTAAAGGCTTTCCCACACTCATTACACTTGTAAGGTTTCTCTCCAGTGTGAACTCTCCGATGCCTTCCAAGGTATGAATTGTACCTAAAGACCTTGCCACATTCATTACATTTGTAAGGTTTTTCTCCAGTATGGATTGTCTGGTGGATAGCTAGGCTTGAACGCACACTAAAGGCTTTGCCACACTCGGTGCACTTGTAAGGTTTCTCTCCAGTATGAATTCTCCGATGACTCGCAAGGTGTGAATTCTGAGTGAAGAGCTTGCCACACTCATTACATTTGAAAGGTTTTTCTCCAGTATGGATCAACTGATGGGTAGTTAGATTTGAATGTCCCCTAAAGGCTTTGCCACACTCATTACACTTGTAAGGTTTTTCTCCACTATGAATTCTGCGATGAGTGGCAAGGTATGAATTGTGTCTAAAGACCTTGCCACACTCATGACATTTGTAAGGTTTTTCTCCAGTATGGATGACCTGATGGATAGTTAGGTTTGATCGAACCCTAAAGGTTTTGCCGCACTCAGTACATTTGTACGGCTTCTCTCCACTGTGGATTCTCCTATGACTGGTAAGGTGTGAACTCTGAGTGAACATTTTGCCACATTCATTGCATTTGCAAGGTTTTTTCCAATTGTTTTTTTGCCTTTGTGTGAGTAATGAAAAACGGATAAATTCATCTATATATGTTTTAGAACTGTGAGTTTTTACACTAGAAGGAATTTGCTGAAGTGGTGAACCTGAGGAACCATGGTTGGTAGACTTCTTAACTTGATTACATTCATAAATGTTACAAACATCGCCTGGAAATAACTGCAGTTCAGGCAGATGTGACAGTAAGCCTACTCCAAGGTGATTGTTAGTAAGCTTGTTTCCTTTATTCCTTCTATTATGTTGATCTCTTCTACGTGTAAGATTTTCTTTGGGGGTCATAAATACTCCTTTATAGTGTCCTTCATTATCTCTCCACTGACACTCAACGTCATGTATATTTTTCTGGAGTTCCTTGAAGGTAAAGTTGTCAATGTCATGGCTTTCATGTCTTTCCAACATCCCTGTGTAGAACATTGCTCCTGCAATGCTCTTCCCTTTTGGTAGCAAATCCTTCATTATACATTTAGGAGTGATATCTACAAGATATAAAGAACCATATACTTCAGTTAATTACAGTATGTAAACAAGTATTTCACATTAAAAACATAGTATTACATCAGAAGTGATACTTATATTGAACAGACTTATGAAACTCCAGAACCATGAATTTCAATTTTCAGAAACAAAAAAAAAAGCCAGGCTCAGTGGCTCAGCCTGTAATCCTGCGCTTTGGGAGGCTGAGGTGAGTGGATTGCCTGAGCCTGTGGGTTCGAGATCCGCCTGGGCAACTTGGCAAGACCTCATCTCTACAATAAATCAAAAAATCAGCCAGGCATGGTAACACATGCCTGTAATTCCGGCTACTCGGAAGGCTGAGGAGAAGGATCGCCGGAGCCCAGCAGGTCGAGGCTGTGGTGTCTGGGAGCGGCCACTGCACTCCAGTCTGGGCAACAGGGTGAGACTTCAACTCAAAATAAATAAATAAATAAATATAAAAAAGAAACAAAAAAAGAATAGTATTCTTCAACAAAGAAAATGTGGTTACATGTAATTCAAATATTAGAGAAGGGCAGGCCATGGTGTTTTATGCCTGTAATCTCAGCACTTTGGGAACTTAAGGCACTGGATCACTTGAGGTCAGGTGTTCAAGACCAGCCCGAGCAACACGGCAAAACACCCCACACACACACACACACACACACACACATTAGGGATGACTAGACTCAAACAACCTATGACAAAAACACTCACTCTGTGCAAGCCTATGTTACCTTCAAAGTAACATTTTCCCAACATGATCTCAAGGCACACACCAATTGGCCAAAAATATATGGTTGTCTCATAATTGAAGACAAAGAAATTTTACATTGTACATATTTAAAGCATACTTTTTTGAATTATTTTAAACAATGACACTAGGAAAATAAAGGATAAAACAATGTCAGAAAAAACAGTATTTTTCTAAATATCTATTAAATACCTGTTATAAAACTATCAATATGCACAGAGCAGGTATTTTGCAACATTAACAAGTGGCGCCTGACAGTTATATTTCATAATACATGCTGACTTACATCATGTATAAATCATATGAAAACGAATTAATAAAATCTTCTAGCAACCATCATGAAATGAGTTGAGAAGAATTAGTAACACATATATAAAATGTTTCTGTCAGTAGAACTGTTAAGTTTTCTCTTAAAATAAAAGTAGTTCTATTTTATAACCAGTACATATTATAAGAAATGGGTTATGATTTTAATTTTATTGTATATTAACAAATTATACTTACATAAATTCACAGGAAACAAAGTAATGTTCTGTTATAAGTATACAATGTGGCAAGATGGAATCAAGCTTATTATAACATTGGTCATCTCAAAAACATATCATTTACTTCTGTTTTCACCCAGTGACCAACATCTCCCTATTCCCCCCACCCCCCAGTCTGCTAACCAACGTTCAACTCTCTGCTTCTATGAGTTTGACTGGTTCAAATGCCATATTTGACTGAGAATATGAGGTATTTCTATTTCTGTGCCTAAATTATTTCTTTCAGCAAAATGTCCTTCAGGTTTCTCCATGTTCTGGCAGACAGAACTTTCTTCTTTTGAAAGCTGAATAGTATCCTATTACGTATTTATACCATATTTTCTGCATCCATTCATCTACTGATGGATGGATTTAGTTTGACTACATAATGTGGCAATTTGAATAATGCTGCACTGAACATGGAGTGGGGGTATCTCATCTACATACTTATTTCAAATCCTTTGTATACACAGTTAACCCTTGAATTACATGGGAGTTAAGAGTACTGACCCACCCTCAGTGGAAAATCACAGAGAACTACTGACTCCCCCAAAACTTTACTAATAGCTTACTGCTGACCAGAAGCCTTACTGATATTGTAACAATTGAATAAAACATTTTTGTATGTTATGTGTATTATACACTGTATTCTTAAAATAAAATAAGTTGGAGAAAGAATGTTATTAAGAAAATAGCAAGAAAAATACATTTACGGTACTGTATAGCACTTATAGATACTGTAAGTTTACATCATCTGTTTGCAAGATGAATCTCCTATCTGAAATGGTAGAAGAGCACAGCTGAAGACCTCAACAGACATACAATACACAATATAGATTCAACTTTTTTTTATAATGTTATGATTTTTCTCTGCTTCTTCAGAGCACTTCCAGCATCACTAGTGGCACTTTCTATGAGTCCCATGGTGTTATGGGCGCACAATATTGCACTAAACACAATGAAAAATATGTAAGACCTGCAAGAAATCACTCTTTACTTTGATACACAATTTACTGGAGAGTTGAATTACTCATGCAGAGATTAGTGTCAATTGGTGATTTAGACAGAGATTTGCAACACCAGAGTGAAATTATTACTGTAGTACAGCTAATTTTATACAGTTACAATTTAATACTGCATTTTTATGCTTATTTACACTTCTCTCAACTGCAAATAGTGCTATGGTCTGTTAGTGTTTGTGTTCATAAGTTTGTATATACTGTAATGTTGTATAATAGATTTGTGTATTTTTTATAGCAGTAAATGATAAATTAGATTAGAATCTACTTATATTTTACACATTCATGGCAGACCTAATTTTTTCTTAGTTTTTTAATATTTCTAGATAATGTGATTTGTCTGAGTTTTGTCAAATTTTGTCAAATCTAAAATTTTCCAGCATATTTACTGAAAGAACTCATGTATAAGCGGACCTGTGTAGTTCAAACCCACAACATTTAAGGGTAAACTGTAAACTCAGAAATGAGACTGTTAGATCATACAGTAATTCTATTTTTGGTTTTCTGAGGAACATACATATACTTTTCATCATGCCTATACTAATGCACATTCTTACCAACAGTATATGAGAAATTCCCTTTCCTCCACATTTTTGGCAACACTAATCTTTTGGCTTTTTGACAACAGGCATTCTGACGGTGAGAGGTGGTATCTCATTGTGGCTTAAATTTACATTTCTGTAATGATTAGTAATGTTGAGCCTTTTTTCATATAGCTGCTTGGCCATTTGTCTTCCTTTAAGAAATGTATATTAAGCTCCTTTGACCATTTTATTTCTTTACTTATTTTTCTGAGTTGGAGTCTCACTCCGTCGCCCAGACTGGAGTGCAGTGGCCGCTCCCAGCCACCGCAGCCTCGACCTGCTGGGCTCTGGCAATCCGCCTTAGCCTTCCAAGTAGCTGGAACTACAGGTGATCTTCCGCCTCAGCCTTCCAAGTAGCTGGAACTACAGGCACATGCTACCACGCCCAGCTAATTTTTTTGATTTATTGTAGAGATGAGGTCTCGCCTGCCCAGGTGGGTCTCGAACCCGCGGGCTCAGGCAATCCACTCACCTCAGCCTCCCAAAGGCGTAGGATTACAGGCTAAGCCACCGAGCCCAGCTGACCATTTTCTAACTGGGTTGTTTTCATGCTATTGACTAGTTTCAGCTTCTCATATATTTTGGATATTCATCTCCTATCAAATGTATGTCTTGCAAATATTTTCTTACAAAAGGAGGTAGTCTCTTCATTCTGTTGTTTCCTCTGCTATATAGGAAAGCATTTTAGTTTCATGCAATCCCATTTGTCTACATTTGCTTTTGATACCTGAGATTTGGGGGTCAAATCCAAAAATTACTGTTCAGACAAAATCATGTAGGTTTTCTCCTATGATTACTTCTAGCAATATTACAATTTCAGATCTTACATTTAAGTATCTAATACATTTTGAGTTCATTTTTGTATATGCTGGGAGAAAAGGATCCAATTTCATTCTACTCTATGTGGATATTCAGTTTCTCCAGCATTATTTATGCAAGAGACTGTCTTTTTTCCATTGTGTGCTCTTGACACTTGTGTTAAAAACCATTTGACCATATATGCATGGGTTCATTTCTTTTTTGAGTTGGAGTCTCACTCTGTCACCCAGACTGGAGTGCAGTGGCCGCTCCCGGCCACCGCAGCCTCGACCTGCTGGGCTCCAGCGATCCTTCTACCTCAGCCTTCCGAGTAGCTGGAATTACAGGCATGCGCTACCACGCCCGGCTGATTTTTTTATTTATTGTAGAGATGAGGTCTCGCTGCCCAGGTGGGTCTCGAACCTGCGGGCTCAGGCAATCCACTCACCTCAGCCTCCCAAAGCCATGGGATTACAGGTTGAGCCATTGAGCCCGGCCATGGGTTCATTTCTGATCTCTCTATTCTGTTGCACTGGTTGATGTGTCTATTTTTAGGTCATTTTGTCTTAATTACTACGTATTTGTAATATAGTTTAAAATAGGTGGTATGATGCCTTTAGGTTTGATTATTTTTGCTTTAAAATTTCCTTGACTGCATGGAACTACTGATTAAAGATTAAATAAATAAATCTGACAAAAATTCATTAACAGTACATAGAAACACACAAGATGAAAGCCACAGTGGCTTTTAAAATGGCAGAATTAAAATATGAAGACATGATTTAACACCCTAAGTTCTCTAAGTTATATGAAAGTCATATATGTTATAGGTTTGACCATTAAGAAAGAAAAAAGATGGTTTTGTTACTGAAAATGGTTTTGTTACTGAAAATGAACAACAGTACACAGAAGGGAAGAAAAATGTGGCATGAACAACAGCTTAGTTAAGAGTCTCATATATATGAGGGTGTGAACTTGAACACTGCTGAGCCTAGAAGAAATCCTTAAGCATTACTTGCTCAAAGGAGATGACCATTATTAGTATATGTGATCAGCAAGTGCCCCTGAAAGACACTTTTATACTTCTCAAAAGTGAGAACAACTGGAAAAACTTATTTATATATAAAGCTCTCCTGACCACATAATGTTTCTTAGCTACTGAGTAGATTCCAAGCCCATGCAATGGGGAACATGAATAGGTCCAGATGTGAGGACTATGAAGGCCTCATCTCTGATCCATTGGAATGAAAACTGAGCACCATACGGAATTAAAGAGGAGAAACCAAGAAGAAAAGCGACCCTTTGAAAGCAACCAAAGTGTTCACAGAAGCCAGATGACAGAGTGTTGTTCATCATGACAAAGACTTTGCCTGTCTCTGTTTGAGCTACAGCAAAATCTGAGGGTGAAAGGATAAACGTCTATACATCTGAAGAACAGAACGAGAGGTGGGGCAAAATAATTTCCTTTCAGAGTTCACAGAATATCAGCTTTTTTTTCCCCAAAGAACCCTCCCATCTGCAGAGGTCCACACTCTACTGAATGAATGGCTTAGTCTCTGCCCCTCTGAACTCTTACCTGTAATCACGCCTTTGCTATATTTCCACACATTTCGTTTCCTTGCTATTTTCACATAGCTCTTCACAGTCCAGGGCTCTTTTCCTTCCTCCAACATGGAGATGATATTCATGTCAAAATGAGAGATTCCTGATTAAAAAAAAAAAAAAAAAAAAGAATGTGCTGTAGCTTTTCCAGAATCCAGCTATACGTTTACATACAAGAAGACATTACAGGCTGGGCATGGTGGCTCACGCCTGTAATTTCAGCACTTTGGGAGGCCAAGGCGAGAGAGGATTGCCAGAGCCTATGGGTTTGAGACCAGCCTGGGCAACATGGTGAGACCCTGTCTCTACAATATATAAATCAAAAAATTAGCTGGGTGTGGTGGTGCGCGCTTGTGATTCCAGCTACTTGGAAGGTTGAGGCAGAAGGATCATCTAATCCCAGCAGGTCGAGGCTGCTGTGGCCATGAGTATGCCACTGCACTCCAGCCTGGGCAACAGAGTGAGACTCCGACTCAAAATAAATAAATAAATAAATAAATAGAGAAGACATTACAGATAGATCTAGGAAAATATTTCAAAGTTTCACCCACTGAATGTCTCTTTCTGAATACTTAGGGAACACTATAATATGCAGATCCGTTACATGAACTACTGAATCAAAAGCACAGAGACAGAAAACATTTTAAAAGTCCAACACAAGGCATTATGTATACAAAAGCTCTGAAACCCTCTAATGATGTATCATGTAGGGGCCAGAACATCTGAAGAAAGGGGATGATGAAAGTCCACAGTCCCCATTATTAAGCTTTGCATTTCTGACTCAACAAGGCCTTAATCTCAAACAAGTAACGCAAAGCCTCCAAGAAAAACACTAGAAAAAATACAAAGCTACACAAGAACAGATCGTGACTTCTGGGAGAAAGTCATCCTCACCTAGGGACACAAGGTTCCAGTAGTTCTCCAACATTACGTCCTTGTATAAATCTCTCTGGCCAGGGTCCAGGCACCTCCACTCCTCCTGAGAGAATTCGATGGCAACATCCCTGAACGTCAACTCTCCCTAAAATGAAAAATACATTTCACTAAGTAACTATGGAGGGAGGTCTACTCTTCATGTACATTGAGAAGAGGAAAGAACTGTAAGAATAAGTTAAACTAAAGTGGGTGGACCAAGAGGATTCTGATTATGACAATGTGACATACAGATTTGGTCTTGTCTCTCCTTCCTAAGCACTCACTTGAAATCTGTGGAGTAATAAGTATCTTTTTTGGATGCAAATTAGATAACTAGTGCAGGAAGCACCTAGCAGCTTCATGATAGAAGGTGATCACTGAAAAGACGAAGGCTCGGTTAGAGGGTTTGGAATTTTGGCCCCAGCACTGAACCTCCTGTGAGGGTAGAAGGAATAAAGGTTCAGTTGGTCACCAGTGGCTAATGATGCAAGCAATCGTGCCTACATAATAAAGCCTCCATAAAAGTTCAACAACAGAGGTCAGAAGAGCTTTTGGGAAGGAGAACAAGTAAAGGTTTCTGGAGGGCAAAGCAACCAAGGAGGGTATCAAATCCTCACCTCCTCTTCCTTATCTAGACCCATAGACCACTTCCACCTCGATGTTCACCTGTGTGTACTTTACTATAAATGAGTAAACATAAGCAAAATTCTCCCTGAGTTCTGTGAGCCACTCTAGAAAACTAATCTGTTCCATTCCAAGGAGGGGGTCATGGGAATTCAAGATTTATAGCTGGTCAGTGAAAAGCACAGGCCACAATCTGTGTTTGCAGCTGACATTAAAAAACGTTTACTATTGTGGGATAGAGCCTTACCCTCTATCCAGATAGACAGTATTCAGATAAAATTGAATGAGGGGATTCCCACTTAGTTTTCACTGCAGAACTGCTTGTTTGGTCTGTGGAAGAAAACCAATACAACTGAGACTGCAGAAGCATTCTGTGCTGTGAGAGTATAGGAGGAGAAACTGAGTCTGTTGTTCCCATATATCCCTACACATTAAGGATTTCTGAGGCAGTTATGACTCCCCAATTCTGTTTTATTATTCTTTTCCCTTAGAGGTTCTGATATCAGCATAGATTTCTCAATTACATGGACAATAAGTATACAGATAAAACATTAACACAGGTTATCTCTATAAAAGTGCTACATATTATGTTGGACACACCACGTGTCAGTCAGTGCCTACATGACCTAGGGTGTGAGTGATGTCTTCAGCAATGACAATGGCTTTAAATAAAAGCAACTCAGAATCTTAACAGTGATAACAGCAATAGTAATAGTGACACACATTTTTTAACACTGCCCAAGTGCAAGGCATTGTTCTAAATGATTTACATGTATTAACTTGTATAATAACATAATGGCCCAAGAGAGAAAGATCTGTTCCCATTTTGTTTTTCTGGGTTTTTTGTTGTTGTTGTTGTTGGAGTCACTCTGTTGCCCAGGCTGGAGTGCAGTGGCATGCTCACAGCCACCGCAGCCTCGACCTGCCAGGCTCAGGTGATCCTTCTGCCTCAGGCTTCCAAGTAGCTGGAACCACAGGCATACGCCACCACACCCAGCTAATTTTATGATTTCCTGCAGAGAAGAGGTCTCGCCAAGTTGCCCAGGCTGGTCTTGAAACCCTGGGCTCAGGCAATCTTCTCATCTCAGCTTTCCAAAGCACTGGGATTACAGGCATGAGCCACCATGCCCAGCTTGATCTGTTCCCATTTTACTAGGAGACAACTGTGTGACAGATACTCTCTGAAATCCATCTCAGGTCAAAGAGTTAAAAATTACAGGGCAAGCACCTATATTGATGTGTCTAGGAATTAAAATTAGACCTAGAGAATAAAATAGTTGGCCAGGCACGGTGGCTCACGCCTATAATTCCAGCACTTTGGGAGGCAGAAGTGAGAGAACTGCCCGAGCCCATGGGTTCGAGACCAACCCGGGCAACTTGGCGAGACCTCATTTCTACAATAAATCAAAAAAATTAGCTGGGCATGGTGGTGCATGCCTGTAATTCCAGCTACTTGGAAGGCTGAGGTAGAAGAATCGCCTGAGCCCAGCAGGTCGAGGCTATGGTGGCCATGAGCATGCCACTATTCTCCTGCCTGGGCAACAGTGAGACTCCCACTCAAAAAAAAGAGATGGACTACTAATGGGTTCACACAATTTCATCATTGGGTTCAATTAATTTGCTAGAGTGGCTCACAGACCTTGGGAAACACTTTACGTACATTTATCCATTTATTATAAAGGCTATTACAAAGCACACATATGAAGAGATGCATACAGTCAGGTATGGGAAAAGGGGTTAGGCACTTCCATGCCTTCACTGGGTGTGCCACCCTCAGAAACCGACACCTGTTAAGCTATTTTGAAGTCCTTTGCACCATGTGCTTAAGGATTTTCATAGAAACTTCATTAAGCAGGCAAAACTGATTAAATCACTGGCCACTGGTGATCAACTTAACCTGCACTGCCTGATAGTTAAGGGGCAGAGCTTAAAGTCCCAACTCTCTAACCCTGCCTCAGATCTTCTGGTGATCAGGCCCTGTCCAGAAGCTTCTCAGAGGTTGCCAGCTATCAGCCAGCATATTAGCATACAAAAAGACGAGACTAAGGAAACTAAACATTTTAGGAGTTGTAGGCCAGGAAACTGGGCCACAGACCAAGAATATACACAAAACTATCAACCAGCGGATCTAAATGAAGCATACCATTTCATTTTGTCATAATAGACCATGCAAAGTCTTCTGAAGCAAGATAAAACAAACATAATAAAAGGCAAAGTGAGGAAGGAAAGAAAACTATTTTCACAGATTTAAAAAAAAAAAAAAAAAACAGAACCAAAAGGAAGACAACAGGCCATATACAAAGAATCAGACCACAGAATAGGAAACAGCTCTGAAATCCCATGAAAAGAAAATGGAGAAAAGTATGAAAACCCATTTTATATATGCATATACACAAAGTAATGAAACTTACTAAGAATTACAATGGAAAAATAATGGAGTGCCATTATCCTCAGTTTTTCAAAATATAAAAAGAACACAGTAGCAAGTTTTGTTTCATGAGGAGAAAATCTCATGTAGTGCTGATGGAAGAGGGTTAGGGACATAATCCTGCCAGATCAAGCAACCAAGGAAATGCCCTATCTTAGAAGCAGCCTCACTTTTTCAATTGCCCAACCTGGAAGAACTCTTAGATATCGGCACTGAAGTCGGCACTCTCAGAGGCAGCCAGTGTGGCATTCTTCATATCAGTGATTAAGTTAAAAGATCCACTTGTCTTCATTCAGAGAAAGTTCCAAGAAGGATGCAGAGGCACAAGCTATCCATGTTTCCTAACATGAAAACATGCAAATGTGTAAAACTTGCAGGTTAAAATGTCACGACAAAACATTCACTGAAGAATGTTTGTGCAAATATCACTAACAATGTACAAATACATTTCTCCAGGACTTGTGCTGACTCTTCCCACAGAACTGACAACAATGGTTTACCACTGAGACATGGGGGAGGGTGGAAAGCATGGCAGAAAGGGGATACCTTATATCTCAGCATGTAAATGTATTGGTGTTTAAAGATTAACTATAAGACAAATATATACAGGATGCTGCTTATAATACAAGTAAAATATTTAATAACTGGTCAAAAAAAGATACAGTTCCATCCTCTCTAATGGGAAAGAAATTCTTTTCCTGTGTCTGAGCAAAATTACAAATATTCTCACCTAAAATATGTGATAAATAAAAGAGGGTTCTCCTGTAAGAACATGGAGTAGATTTTCTAACAATGGTTTAATGAATCTCCTGTTAGACATCTGGGGTGATTTCTTTTTTTTTTTTTTTCCCGAGTTGGAGTCTCACTTCATTGCCCAGGCTGAAGTGCAGTGGCACACATGCTCATGGCCATCCCAGTGTCGACCTGCTGAGCTCATGTGATCCTTCTGCCTCAGCTTTCCAAGTAGCTGGAACTACAGGTGCATGCTACCACATCCAGCTAATTTTTTGATTCATTGTAGAGATAAGGTCTCATCAAGGTGCCCAGGTTGTTATCTAACCTGTGGGCTCAGGCAATTCCCTCACCTCGGCTTCCCAAAGTGCTGGGATTACAGGCTTGAGTCACTGTGCCTGGCCTAGGTTGATTTCTTACATTAAAATGGATGGCGGAATGAAAGAATCTTCTTGCTCTGATGTCTGTCTAAACTCCATTCCACTCCCAGTGGTTGAATAAACAAGATTAATAGACCGCTAGCCAGATTAACAAAAAAAGAGATAGTCCAAATAAATAAAATAAAAAATGGCAAAGTTACAAATGATCTCAAAGAAATACAAAAGATTCTCAGAGATTATTATAAACACCTGCGTGCATCTAAACTAGAAAATCTAAAGGAAACAGATACATTCCTGGAAATATACAACCTCCCAAAATTGAAACAGGAAGACACTGAAACCCTGAACAGACCAATAACAAGCCTCAAAATTGAATCAGTATAAAAACCTCTCTCTAAAAAAAAAAATCCTGGAACAGATAGATTTAAAGCCTAATTCTACCAGAAATACAAGGAAGAGCTGATATCAATCCTACTGAAATTACTCCAAACAATCGAGGGGGATAGACTCCCTCCTAACTCATTCTACAAAGTCAATATCATTCCTTATACCAAAATCTGGCAAACACACAACAAAGAAAGAAAACTACAGGCCAATATCTCTGATGAACATATATGTAAAAATCCTCAACGAAGTACTAACAAACTACATCCAGCAACACATCATTTGCCATGATCAGATGGTCTTTATTCTGGGATGCAGAGTTGGTTCAATATACACAAATCAATTAATGTAATCCACCACATAAACAGAATTAAAAACAAGAACCACATGATTATCTCAACAGACACAGAAAAAGCATCCAATAAAATCCAACATTCCTTCATGATAGAAATCCAAAACAAGCTAAGCATCGAAGGGACACACTTCAAAATAATTAGAGCCATCTATAGTCATATCATAAATCTATATAGTCATATCATAAATCTATAGTCAACATCATACTGAATAATCAGAACCTGGAAGCATTCCTCCTAAGAAGAAGAACAAGACAAGGATGTCTACTTTCACAACTCCAAGAGAAAGAAATAAAAGGTATCCAACCAAGAAATGATGAAGTTAAATTATTTCTCTCTGCAGATGACAGGATTCTATACCTAGAAAATCCGAAAGATTCCACCAAAAGACTCCTTGAGCTGATAAGCGACTTCAGTTAAGTCTTGGGATACAAAATCAATGTTCAAAAATCAGTAGCATTTTTATATACCAACAATATTCAAGCTGAGAATCAAATCAAGAACACAATTGCATTCACAATAGCTATACACACACACAAACACACCTAGGTATGATAGCTGCATAGAAGCAGACACACAGATTCAGCAGAACAGAGATTCCAGAAATAAAAACGTTGACCCCAGAAATAAAAATGTCTACAACTAACTTATCTTTGACAGAGCCGAAAAAGTAATCACTGGAGAAAGGACACCCTATTCAATAAACAGTGCAAAAAAACCTGGCTAAACATATGCAGAAAAAAATGAAACTGGACACCTTTCCTTTTACCATGCACAAAAGTTAACTCAAGATGGATAATGACTTAAATGTAAGATCCCAAATGATAAAAATCTTTAGCTACTCAAAACTTAATTTTTAAAATATGCCTTCACTACAAATTTGAAAGTCTAAGGAGCTGGGTTTGGTGGCTCAGCCTGCATTCCCGCATCTTTGGGAGGCTGAGGTGAGTGGATTGCCTGAACCTGTGGGTTCGTGACCCGCCTGGGCAGCGAGACCTCATCTCTACAATAAATCAAAAATTAGCTGGGCGTGGTAGCACACGCCTGTAGTTCCAGCTACTTGGAAGGCTGAGGCAAAAGGATTACTAGAGCCCAGCAGGTCGAGGCTGCGGTGGCCGGGAGTGGCCACTGCACTCCAGTCTGGGTGACAGAGTGAGACTCCAACTCAAAAAAAAAAAAAGAAAGAAAGTCTAGGGAAGCTTCTTCCCCCACCCCAAAAGTTCGTAAACAGCAGAGCAAATTTATTTTTAAAATAACTTATTAAAAAGGCAAAAGATAGTATCCATAAGTCCAACTTCTAAGAGGCTGTGCAATTCTCAGGTAATCAGAGCACCAAGGCTAGTAAGGTTTCCTTAACCACCAGAATTCATAGCTTAATTTCTTCACTTAGATCAAGGTACAAAAATCATATGGTTCAACAAGGGAAAACAGTTCCCAAATGATACTCCTGCATGGGTCCCCAAATTTTCTACCTGAGCTGATGTTATTTCTCCCACTTGCCCTTGGGCTATTTCCCCAGATGTACCACTATTATTCTCTATTGCTTCTTGCACAAAGATGAGTGGAGACTTTGAACAGAGCATGTTATTGGGGTGTGACCTCTGATATTTAAGAACACTGGCTCATATGTGATTGAACTGTGAATAACAGTGAACCATGAGTATCCATATTTTCTGATGCCACAGGAACTAAGGATAAAGGAACTCAAAAAAATTAAGCAGCATTCCGTTTACAGGACAACCAGTTCCTAGACATAGCTCATAAGACTGGGGTTGCAGGTTATCCACAAAAGGCGTTCGTCTAACTTGGACCTGGAGCCAAAGTTCACTACAGGTTACAAACAAATCATCAAGACCATAAATCAACACAGAAAGCATGAGTCCTCCTCCTAACATGCCAGAAATCTTCATTGCTTCAGGTCATGAACTAAACAATCACAGGAAATAGGATATATAAAAATCTTAGAAGAAAGCCTAGTAAACACTCTTCTGGACATTGTTTTAGGTGCAAATTTATAACCAAGTCCTCAAAAGCAAATGCAGCAAAAAAATCAAAATTGACAAATAGGACCTAATTAAACTAAAGAGCTTCTACTACACAGCAGAAGGAAAAATACACAGTGTAAACAGACAACCTACAGAATGGGGCAAAGTGTTTACAAACCGTGTGTCCAACAAAGGCCTGATATACAGAATATCTAAGTAACTTAAATGATCTGACAAGAATAAAGCAAGTAACTCCATTAAGAAGTGGGCAAAGGACATGAAGACACACTTCTCAAAAGAAGACACACAAGTGGCCAATAAACACATGAAAAAATGTTCAACATCACTATCATCAGAGAAGCACAATTCAAAACCACAATGAGATACCTTCTCACACTAATCAGAATGATTTTATTTAAAAACCAAAAAACAACAGATGTTTGCAAGGTTGTGAAAAAAAAGGGAACAATCCTACACTACTGGTGGGAATGTAAGCTAGTTCAGGTCCTGTGGAAAGCAGTTTGGAAATTTCTCAAAGAACTAAAAATAGATTTACCATTTGACCCAGCAATCCGACTACTGGATATAGGTCCAAAGAAGCACAAACAATTCTACCAAAAAGACACCTGTTTATAGCATAACTATTCACAATAGCAAAAATATGGAAGCAACCTAGATGCCAACCAATGGTTGTCTAGGTAATGAAAACGTGGTAAATGTACATCATGAAACAGTACACAGCCATAAAGAAAAGCATATCACCTGCAGCAATGTGGATAACTCTGAAGGCCACTATTCTAAGCAAACTAACACAGAAACAGAAAACTGAACACCACATGCCCTCACAAGTAGAGCTAAACACTGGATACACACAGACATAAAAACAGGAACAATAGACACAGGGGACTCTTAAAGTGAGGAGGGAGGGAGGCAGGCAAGAATTGAAAAACAACCCACTGGGCATCATGTACATCAGCTGGATGATGGGTTTAAAAGCAGCCCAAACTTCACCATCACGCAATGTACCCATGTAATAAACCTACACACGTATCCCTTGAAACTAAAAATAAAATTAAAAAAAAATTGAGTCAGAAACAAAGTGACTCACTTATTCAGTTTCAAATGTGATACAAATAAGCCAGAAAAGATTTCCACTTAGTATTCTCCTTTTCTAGAACTTACCAGATATTTGTGCACATGAATATATGACTTCCACATGCAGTTCCTCTAATCCTGGTCTAGAGAGCTGATGGTACACCTAGACGTGGTCCCAAAACAACCCTGTTGCCCAACAGCTCTCACACCATGAGGCCCACACCCCGTCTCCATCCACGTCTGGTGTAAGCCCTTTCCAGGACCATGCTCCATGGAGCTTGCCTCATGAGTTCACGTCACTGGGTCATGTGAGATGGAATCTAAGTGGAGATGAGAGGGACTGAGGGAAGGCAGGGGTGAGTGTGAGCAGACATGGCAGGCAGGATGCTTCAGACCCAGAGGGGATGAGCAACTCCAACGTCAGGCATTTCAGAAAGCAAGGAGACATGCATTCCACCAAGAAGGTCGCTTTACCTGAGAAAGAGCCATCCCTGATGACTTTTCTTGCCTCTTCCTCTTCTACCAGGCCTCTTCCTAGGGTAACATGAAAGAGGCTTTAGAAGTCAACCCAGGATGGCAAATATGTTGGTCACTCCTCAGAATCAACACATCCCCTCCCTATGACACAACCACACACACTGGGAAGACATTGCTAGGTAAAAAGATGGTCTTCTGCTGACCACTGCACCCGGGAGGAGGTAAGGACAATACACTCTTATATGAAACAAAAGTTTTTCAGAAACTGCTCCCCTCCTGGTGATGCCCACACACTTGCTGCAGCATTGGGAAGCTGGGCTGGACTGAGCTCCCCTTCAGGAGACAGACCCAGCCCTGACCAAACCCCCTGCAGAGGATAGCCCCCCTCACCTCTCTGTGGATCACAGGCTGACCTCAGTCCTCAGAAGTGGAGGATACAAGATCTTAGTGTTCTATGCCGGACACCAGTTTGAATCAACATTACATATTATTAAGGCTGAGCCCAACCTATTTGAATGAAAGTCTCTGGTAAGGGGGCACAAGAGATAGATTTAGAAAACACCTCAGGACTCTAATGAGAAGCCAGGGTTGAGTTCCACTCAGAGGGGAAGGTCTAGCACACTTCCCAACTTCTGGTTCTGCTCTCCCCTTGGGGCCTTGTGATCACCAAGAAACAGAGTGGAAGGTGAAGGAGCAGAAACATTCAGAGTAGCCAATATGGACCACAGATATAGGAGACAGTATGACTGGAATATTCAATGGGGGGACATGGAAAGGCAAAGAAGCCTCCACCAGAAAGATGACATCAGAAAAAAGACCTGGAGCTGGGCTCGGTGGCTCAGCCTGTAATCCCGCGCCTTTGGGAGGCTGAGGTGAGTGAATTGCCTGAGCTCGCGGGTTCCAGACCTGCCTGGGCAACTTGGTGAGACCTCATCTCTACAATAAATCAAAAAATTAGCCGGGCGTGGTAGCGCGCGCCTGTAGTTCCAGCTACTCGGAAGGCTGAAGCAGAAGGATCTCCGGAGCCCAGCAGGTCGAGGCTGCGGTGGCCGGGAGCAGTCACTGCACTCCAGTCTGGGTGACAGAGTGAGACTCCAACTCAAAAAAAAAAGAAAAAAGAAAAAAGACCTGGGTAGGAAGGGTGTCTGCACCTGCAGCTGAGGGTCCAGAGAGTTCTAGGCAGAGGGACAGCCCAAGTGAAGTCTCTGAGGCAGGAGCAGCTTCCGCTCTAGGAAAAAGAGAGAGGCCTGTGTGCCTGGAGCAGAGTGACTGAGGAGGACACAAGAGGAGATGAAGTCAGAGAGGTCCCAGGGGAGAAGATCAGGGAAGCTGCAGGGCTCCAAACCGTTTTCTCCCACAGCTCAAGAGAATTTTGGAAACGATGTATTTCTCCGTTTTAAATAAACAAGTATTTTTTCTTTATTTTAAAAATCAACACACTTATGACATCTTAAATATTTTAAATATATAACAAGGAGTTCAGCTAGGCCCCAGGAAGTACAGGGTCTCCCTCATCTGACATGTGCAGGACTGCAGGAAGAACACATCATTATTGGACATATGAAGGTGGAGATGCCTGTCGAACATCCCAGCAAAGAGTTGAAGGGACAAATGGACACAGGATTCCACAGTTCAAGAGAGAGGTCTGTAGGGGAAATGGAGACATGCAAGTAGGCTTAAAGCCAGATGAGATGATAAAGAAAGGCAGTGGGCATGGACAGAGACAAGAAGAGGATCAAGGACAAAATCACATTCAGAGAACAGGGAGATCTGGAGACACCAGAAGAAAAATGCAGAAGGTGATCAGGGAGGGAAGAAAATGAAATAGATTTTTATAGGTTAGTGGGATGTCCTCAAAGCCAAGAGAAAGTGGCCAACTATGCCACGTGCTACCAATAGGAAGAGAAAAATAAGGACAGGACATTAAATACTGCATTTAAAATTTGGGAGGTGGTTGGAAACTGAGATGCAAAATCTTGATCCAATCAAGAACTCAAGGGCTAAGGCAAAAATTAAAGACAAGGTAAATACAAGTCTTTATTGTATTATGGCCTTCAATGGAGCACAGAAGTGGGTACTTACTACAGAGGGAAAAGTAGTTGAGTATAGTTTGTTTTAAAGATGGAAGAGTAGAAGAAAAAAAAGAGCTCTTTTGTATGCTGGGAAGGATTTGTCCCCTTTAGTGTTTCAGAGAAACACTAAAGCTATTTTTACTGTTCTCACACTCATCAACTCTAGTCACTAAAGTGTATATGTGGTTTTTCCCACATTGACCAGTTCTCCAGCAAACTCCCAGGTAGGTGACCTACAATTTAACTCAATTCTAACACTATCTACAAGATAACAACAGATCCCATAGCTTAAGCACTCAGCCCTACAAGACTGTTCTTCACTTCCGATAATATGCAAGCTATCGTTTTATCTATACAGTAAGATCCCTATATATGAAGAACTTCCATTCTGAGAGTGCATTTGTAAGTCCAATTTGTTCTTAAATCCAACAATGTTAACCTAGGTAATCAACTAACACAATTGGCTATATAGTACTGTATTATAAGAAGTTTATAATACACTTCAAACAACTACATTAAAAACAGTAATGTAAGCCGGACTCAGTGGCTCAGCCTGTAATCCCGCACCTTTGGGAGGCTGAGGTGAGTGGA